ACTTCATCATAACCTGCATAAAGATAAAGCAGCACGCCCTGCACAATGCACGAACTGCCAACGAGCGCGAAACACGTGGATCGCCATAACCGTCACAGCAAACGTGATACAAAAGGTCAGGATAAAACGATAAGGCCAAACCCCGACTTCCGTGCTCAAATAGCACCTAGACTTCAATAACTGAAGGTCGCAACCTGACCTAGAACGTCAACTCGATCCAGCACAAGGAAAACAAAGCTCTGATCAATGGTATTCAAAAGTTCACAATGAATTCAGGAAATATCCGACATGCTTACATCCGACTTCAAACGCAAACACCATGGAAAGTCTAGAAACGTAGTGAACGTAATCTTGACAAAACAACTGAGTTAGAATGCTGACGTCGAAAACTCGGAAGTCCAAACCTGAGTACAATGAACGCGGATAAATTGAATCTGTGATAACACAATGGCACCTCGACATCCCGAGCCCAGGAATACCGAGATGGGGGGCAACTGTTATGGATATGAATACCATATCCCAACTACCTATCAGAATATCTTGTGAGATACAGAGCCATCAACATCTCAACAACTCCAAACAGCCAAAGAGCACAAGATAAGGATCACATCCCAACAGAAGGGGAGTTGAATCCTACTACAATTGGGGAATCTCAAAAGGCCCAAGCCTAGGAAGGTAATCCTATAAATAAGAGCCTAAGGACCCCAAGTAAACACTCAGAACTCATTTACTACTTTTGCCCACGCTGTGCACACACCCACCTCTTGACTATAAGCCTATTGCTTGTGCGCAGTGATTGAGACCTCAGCTATAAGCCTAGTATACAACTGATATACACTATCTCTGAGCGCATACCCTACGGTATAGCAATACGGTCTATCCAGAACCTAACAGGGCTCATTGGAGATAACTTATCTTCATTGACTGGAGAAATCTTTTACCCATTTATATATATATATATATATATATATATATATATATATATATATATATTATATATATATATATAGGGTAAATGATCTCTCAAGTCACTGGCGATAAAGTTATCTCTAGTGAACCCAAAACGACATCGTTTTTGGACAGAAATCAAGGTGTTTTTGTAATTCTAATATATTGCAAGGTTATATTAGTCTTTATCATTATAATTTTTTAATCTTATAATTCAAAACGACGTCGTTTTAGGCTCACTGGAGATAACTCACTGGAGATAAAGTTATCTCCAGTGACTGGAGAGATATTTTTCCCATATATATATAGGGGGAAAGAACTCTCACTTTGTAAGTGGGGTTATACGCGGTATGGATTGGATCAGTTTTGAAGCAAAAAAATCATCTAATCCATTTTCTTTAGTTTGATCATTTAATCATTCATCCAATTTTTTTTTTTTTTAAATCTGATCTATTCCAATTCAATTTTATTCGGTTTGGATTGAATCAGTTTTCGATTTTTCGAAAAGTCTAAAATTTTAGCCCTAAAAATCACTAGCTATATCAAAATAAAGTCATACAAAGTTACAAATTACTGTAAAATTCAAGTCTTCAAACTAAAAGAAGTTTAAAACTAATGAAGAGTTAAAATAGATTAATAGAAGTTTATAAAAAAAAGTAGATCAATAGATAATAAAAAACTAAAACAAGATAGTTTGCTATTAACAACATCCACGATCCATGTCTACAAAACAACATGATTACAAGCCATCATCTTTCGAAAATAATAAATCATAATATATTGGATCAATTTAGATTGGATCGATTTTCACCAACCAAATTGAAAATCGATTGTTATCAAAAAAAAAATTGAAAATCGATCCAATCCAATTAAAGTATGCGATTTTTTTTCGGTTTTTGGTTATCTATTTTTCGATTCGGTTACCGCGGTTTGGATCGGTTGATGAACACCCTTAATTGTAGGAGAATTTTTTCTCCTACTAGTTAGACATCAAATTGTGTGCAATTATTTTATTTTTTTATTTTATTTTAATGGGTGGTGGGATCCACCACATCTTGTGTCTATAATAGAAGAAATAAATCTAATGTTGCATGAGAAAAGAGAGACTATATATATACGAAGAAGCACGAACACGTCAATTTGGAAGAAAAATGTGTGTCGGTTAATCAACGTTTTCTGACACGCGGTCAATGTTTTTCGACATGTTTTTTTTAGATCCAAAATTTATTTTATTTTATCTTTTGAACTAAAAATAAAATTTCATTTATAAATCAAGTTATGGAATTTGACATGAAAAATTAACAAGGCATGAAAAAATATTTTTGCATTTCATATTTTGTTATGAAATTTGAATATTTGGTTGGTTATATGACTTATTATGAGCAGCTATATGTATTAAATGTAAACTATATTATATATATTAAAAATAGGGAATTACTTTTCTTATGTTACATAAATTTTTTTTTATCTCCTACATTCACATTTTTCAAATGGGTCCCACAAGATTTTTTTATCTCACTTCCAACTTTTTTCTCTCTCCTAACTTTTGTTTGAACATGAGATAATACTTCTCTTATGCAACATAAGAGAAGTATTACCCTTAAAAATATTATTTAATAGCAAAATATGTTCTAACATATCAAAATTTTAGAATTAACGTGTCAGTGTATTGTGTCCCTTATCGGTGACACATAATGTGTGTATATATATATGTATATATATAGGGAATTGCTTTTCTTATGTTGCATAAGATAAAAGTAATGTTCCTACACTCACAAAAAGAAGAGAGAGGAGAGAGAATAGGAAAAAGAGAAAAAAAAATTAAAGTGAGTCCCACATAAGATTTATGTGTGTAGGAAGATTGTTTTATCTTGTGCAACATAGGAAAAATAATCCCCATATATATATATATATATATATATATATATATATATATAGTAAGTCATATTAAGAATTGTGTTATTTATATTTTTAAATTGCTCTATTGATTTAATTAATACTTAGCCACTTTAATTATTTTTTAATTATATGAATTATTAAATATAAGTAGATTAATGATGAAAAATTAAAAATGGAATTCAGGTTAACATCACATAACACAAATTCAACATGAACACATTTATACTTACTCAACATGAATACAACCCAAATTTAAAATCGGTTAAAACTTTCAATACAAACACGATTCACTTATTTTGCGGTTTGACACGACATGATGCGGATAACTTGTAATCTCAAAGCACGTCGCTTATTATCCGGGTTGACAGGACACAGCATGACATGAAAACCTGTCGACCTCAAATTATTTTATTTATTATGCGAGTTGACACGACATGATAATATACGGATAATCTATTTATGACAAAATATGAGATGAATAATGGTTAAAGCGGGTCAAATTTGGATTCGCGGGTTGACACGGTACACACCACAAATTTTTTCATGTTAGTTTTTGCCAAACTAACACGACACAAATTTGAAAATAGGATAACTCGAACAAAAAATTTTTGTGTCGTGTTCATATTTTTTTGTTATTTTATATATATATATATATATTTGATCATAACAAGAATTTTTAATCTCAATCAATTGTTGATTTGCATGTCTAACATTTATAACTTATTTGAGATTAGTAAGTAATTAATGAATATAATGCAATAAATTATAACCATCAAATATACGGAAATGAACTATTAAGATAAGTGTACGAATTTTTTTTTACATAAGTTAAATTATCATTTCCCATATATATTTGGGTTAAGTGTGTGTCTTTTTAAAGAACAATACTTATATCCTTTTAGTGGTTAACACAATATACCACGGGTAGTACATAGTTGTAATATAAAAAATTATTTTTCTCTCTCCACATCAGCTAAAGTGACTGAGAAAAGAGAAAAAAATGATTTTTTTTCATATAATAATTGGGGTAGGATATTGTAACAACCAAATAGGGTTACTATCATATTACTATCAATCAATCTGACCATTAATTGGCTATTTTGATCTGACGGTCCTGATTTGATCAATATAAAGCCCTTCTCTCTTCCTTTCTCTCTCCCCCTTCTCTCTTACTATACTCTCTAGTCTCTACTGCTGCCGCCGCTCCCCATAGTTGTCGCCTCGTCGCCGGACATATTAAAAATTATAACTGAGTTTTTTATATTCCTGCGAGAAAATCTAAACTGTCCGTCCAGTGATGGAAGAAAGTGAATTTTTTCTCCTCTCTACCGCTTAAAATTCAGTTACTACCATGCATTCAACTCAGTTTTGAAATATAGATGACAACGGGAAGTTCTAATGATTCCAATGGACTTTGTAAGGTTGAGAGAGATTCACTCCTTCAAGGAAATGAAAAAGAAATTGTTCCAGCGGTAGAGAGAGGGGCGCACAACTCAGAGAGGGATTAACGGCGGCGGCGCGACGGCGGCTATGGGGAGCGGCGGCGACGATAGAGACTAGAGAGTATAGTCAGAGAAAAGGGAAGAGAGAGAAAGGAAGAGAGAAAGGCTTTATGTTAATCAAATCAGGACCGTTGATCAAAATAGCTAATTAACGGTGAGATTAATTGGTAGTAACATGATAGTAACCCTATTTAGTTGTTACAATATCGTACCCCATATTAATTATGTAATATCCGTAGTAAATAATAATAATCACTAAAAGGACACGAGCTTGTGTCCTTTCAAAGGACAAACCTTTTTCCTTATATATTTATGGGATAGGATATTGTGACACACAAATAATGTTACGCACAATGTTACGACCATATCTTAACCGTTGATTGGCGGAAATCATCGGTTATCATTTTTCAAATTAAACTCATTAATTAATTATTAATTTGCAATAAATGATAACCGTTGATTGGCGGAAATCAACGGTTAAGATATGGTCGTAACATTGTGCGTAACATTATTTGTGTGTCACAATATCCTATCCCTATAGCATAGGTCGTAAGTAGGGATATCATTATTTTATTTGTGCCTGTCTATGTAAAGAAAATAACCCTTTACCTGCCCCGCCTATATGCCAACTTGGTAAGCAGAGAAGTCAGCTGAGAAAAGAAAACAACGCATAAACCTCATAATACACTGACATAGCCTTATTTCCTACAGAGACAGACAGAGTAGAGACCCAAAGTTAAATTAATCCGAGGAAGCGTTTAAAAGTTGAAACTTGAAACTGGCAGTGACGTGAACGTTGAGAGATAGTAGAGAGAAGGCATGCGACATAGCAAGGAACAGCTGAATACTCTTTTAAGTCCTAAATGCTAGCTGGTAACTCTCCTAAGGATGTCTTTTTTATTTATTATTTCGTTCTATTAATTAATCCAGTACTCTATTTATTTATTTATTTATTTATTTTTCAAACTCTGTTGTGTTTGTTACTATTGGAACTTCGAAGAGAGACCTCAAGGAAGAAGAGTCTAGAAGGTCTTGTATTGTGTAGTTCTATTCTTCTCAAAGCAAACAGCACAAAAACTAGCTGAATCACTGAATCAAATCACAAAGATATTGAGAGAGAGAGAGATGGGAAGACCAAGGTGCTTCTTGGACATATGCATAGGGGAAGAGCTAGAAGGGAGGATATTGGTGGAGCTTTACGACGATGTGGCACCCAAAACTGCTGAGAATTTCAGAGCTCTCTGTACTGGCGACAAAGGCATTGGTCCAAATACAGGGGTGCCTCTCCATTTCAAGGTCCTTTCTTTTTCTCTCTTTTCTACCTTTCACCTTTCACTTTTTGGCCATACCCACCTTCTGTTTCTATTCATTTCTCACTCTCTTTTTGACCTAATAAAGATTATATTTTTGGGCCTTTGTGCTATGATTTCTGCCCGAAATTATTTTTCCAGGGTTCATTGCGATGTGAATGAGAAGAGAAAAAAAAAGAGGGGGGAGTATTTTTTTTCTTCACTGAAATGTGACGGGTTGCATTATGCACATTCAAAATAAGATATTTTGATTTGGAACATGGATTATGTGTCTTATGATTCTCTTTTAAATATCAAGTCTCGTTAATTTTGGGAATTTTAGCCGCTCTAGGATCTGGGCTTTGCGGTAATCCAAGGGTTGAACTTGAACTCCAAGCTGCTTTTTTTTCCCCCATCACTTTTGGACGATGAGTTTTGAAAAGACGGTTATGCCCTTTATTCTTTTTTACTGTAGATACCCTTTAAGGGCGTTACTACTTTTTTAAATTTAAAGATTTTTCGTTTTGTTGTTTTTTTGGTTAAGAAGGGGGGAGGGATTGTAAATTCCATATAATATATTTGATAATATGCCAACTCTCTGATGTTCTAGATTTTGTTTCTTAAAATTTTGAGAATTTAATACCAGCAATGCAGAGGGGAAAGGGAAAAAACTGATAACAGATATCAGATATCAGGGGATATTAGACAATAGTTCAAACTCTATAAGTGCATGCCATTCCATGAGCTGACATTGGCCTAGAAGTCTAAAATTTGTTATTTGTTTATCTTGATTAAAACTTCAACAAGGAATGCATTATTCTTCTCGTGTTTACTCTTAGTTCGTTGCATCAAATATTGCCTGTAATATGTGCCTATATTGGATAGAACTTCACTCAAGCATATATTACTTTGTTGGCTCTGTTGTGCTATATTTTGGGAGGCAGGTCTGAATCTGTTGGCTTTGCTACTGAATATGGTTTAGGATAACATCAAATAATTGTTAATTCTCATGCGTTCTTCCTGAATTATGCTTCATGATAATTATATATTAGGGTATGCTGGTATTTAGTTCTCGTTTCTTTACTTATTTGTGAGGAATATCCACGAGGCAGTATAAGTAAAGAAACAAAATGACCAAGCAATTTCTCTTATTAATTATTATTAACTGAAATAATTTCCTGTGATATAGAGATTAGAGACAAAGTCTGTGCACACTGCACACTATATATACCAACTTATTATGTTACTTTCTTAAGATATTATCTCCTGAAAATTTGATCTGTGATATAAGTTCAAAAGTTAATTATTGGATTCAGTTTATATTCTGTTGTGTTTTCAGGGATCTTGCTTTCATCGTGTTGTTAAAGGTTTTATGATCCAAGGAGGTGATATATCTGCTGGAGATGGCACTGGAGGAGAATCTATATATGGACTGACGTTTGAAGATGAAAATTTTGAGTTGAAGCATGAAAGGAAAGGGATGTTATCAATGGCAAACACCAGTCCTAATACAAATGGGTCTCAGTTTTTTATCTCTACTACCCGAACTTCTCATCTAGATGGTAAGCATGTTGTATTTGGGAAAGTAGTTAAAGGAATGGGAGTGGTCCGTTCTATTGAGCATGTTATGACTGGAGATGATGATCGCCCCCTTCTTGATGTTAAAATTGTGGATTGCGGAGAAATTTCCGAAGGAGAAGATGATGGGATATCTAACTTCTTCAAAGATGGTGATACTTATCCTGATTGGCCAGCAGACCTTGATGAGAGCCCTAATGAACTTGATTGGTGGATGCAGTCAGTTGACTCCATTAAAACTTTTGGCAATGAGCATTACAAGGTATTGGTGCTTTCACAAAGTCCATCTCTCATTATTATTTGATGCTTTATTTCATACTGTGAAAGGAGCTATATTAATTTTTCTGAGGGTATGATTGAAATATGTGTTCTGCCTGTCAATAGTTGTTCAGTGCTTATTATTGCAGTAGTCATCCTCGTTACCTTGTAATTCTTAGTAGCAAAAAACTAATTTAATTTTCCTTCTGACAGAAACAGGACTACAAAATGGCTCTAAGGAAGTATCGGAAGGCTTTACGTTACCTGGATATTTGTTGGGAGAAAGATGGGATTGATGAAGGTATGCTGCCTTTTGCTACTATTTGTTTCGCTTCATTGTGCAGTGATTATATACAAATGTACTTCACCTTTCACCTCCTTTACAGGTGATAACATAGTTGTATTAATGGCTTTGCAGAGAAAACTTTAGGTTTGAGAAAAACAAAGTCTCAGATCTTTACAAACAGCTCTGTAAGTCCGAAGTTACTATGTTATGCACTGTGCTGCAGATAACTTTTCAGCGCACTAATTACCTTTATAATGTACCATTATATTCTTTGTTGAGTCCTGTTACCAAGCTGCATATATTAACTGATTTTTCTGTTTCCCACTTTTCTAATTGTTTATGTTGTCATTTTTTTAAGGCTTGTAAATTGAAATTAGGGGATGTTAAAGGAGCATTGTTAGATACAGAATTTGCAATGCGTGACGGAGACAACAATGCCAAAGCTTTGTTCCGCCAAGGACAGGTTGGTATCGCAATTGAATAGCTTTCTGTCACAAGTTAGGAGTTTTTGTTACTGATAGTGCTTGGCATTACAGAACCACCTTCCTCACTCTTTTCCTCCCCCTTCATATCTATCCCAGCTTATGGCAGTGATACAGGAATCATACTCCTCTCCACTCCACTCATATCACACCAGCTGTCTTCGCTCGTATACACGCAACCCAGTCCGCTCTTTCGGCCATTCACCTCAGTTGAGGGAAGCCCTTTTTGTTTCTTCCTTTATTATAGACTTGGGCTAATGGCATATCAGTTACCCTTTACCGTAGGCTTCATGTTACTGGTTTTTAATGCGTCCTGCTTTTTTCCCTGATAAATATGTTACTTCCAATTTACCAGGCATACATGGCACTCCATGACATTGATGCGGCAGTTGAAAGCTTTAAGAAGGCACTGACGTTGGAGCCAAATGATGGTTAGTTATGAACTTTCAGCTCTGGATCAGGCCTTTGTTGTGGACTCTTCTGGGCTATAATTGCATGGATATACATTTGACTTTATCATTTATTTAGTCAGGTTTTTGATGTATTATTGAGAGTCAGTTTTCGTTTTATTGTTTAAAAGATGGGATAACTTTTTAATGATACAAGCTGAAAATTATTTAAACTTAAATGTTAATAGTAATTTGATGTGTGAGGAAATCCAAGAGAAGAGGGGGGATATGAAGGAAGAAAATGTGAAAGATAAAATGAACTTAATTTTTATTTTGTAAAGCATGAAGATAATGTGCTGGTATATGGCCATTTTCACGGAACCTTGTATACAGTTATTCAAGTTCTGTAATCTAAAGTTTCCTGTAGCTTACTTGGTATTTTGCTATTTTCAGCTGGAATAAAGAAGGAACTTGCTGCTACCAGGAAGAAGGTGAGTGCATCTATCTACATTGAGCAAGCATTGAAGCATTATATACTTCTAGGGAATCTAACTGAGTATGTGTGTTGCAGATAGCTGATAGGCATGATCAAGAGAAAAAAGCATATAGCAAGATGTTCCAGTAACACACTGGTATGTTTCAGGCTCTCAGCTAATTACCATGAAATTATAAAAAGTTTGATGTAATTGCATGCCCACCATCGAAATTCATGTGTAACAATCAAAAGTTTTCCATTTGAGTTATGTTGTCCCAATTGCTGATGCATCATCATAGATAGATTGATTTGCACCATTGGATCATTCAGTTCAAATGAGCAGTTCTTAAACTCGTCTCCTTTACTTGACATGTAATTTTTTTCCCCTTTTCAGGCTTATGTTCAGCCGAGGAAAATAAACAAATCACCGCTGCAATACAAAAGAAATAGTTCAGGCTTCAACGCATTGGTACTAAAGGTATTAGGAATCAGGCTCAGATGAAACAAGTGGACAAGGATTTGTATTGTTACATGATGAAATTTTTAGCCAACAATTTTGTCAAGCTTTTCTTTTATAGATAATTCAAAGATAATTTTATTCGGTGGTGATTCTAGTGATTGAAATACAGTTTAACTTATGAACCACAGACGATGCTGTATGTGATTTTGATATTTATTATTGGGAACTTACACTCAATGAAGAATGTATCACATTTATTGGTTAGAAACCAAATAACCACTCATTTTGCTTTTCAGTTTAATTTTTACACTGAATAACCAATTAGTGTGGCTATTTAGTTCGCAGCTAGATTGATTTGTAAATTCTCTTTTATTATTATTTCACACCATCTTCCGCAACCATTAATAAAGTAGTTAAGTTGAATGGAAATATGTTAGACGTTGACGTTGTAGCATTGACCTTGGTTATTAGTAACGTATGATGTACATGCGATTCCTAGGTACGATATGATATAATTTACAAGTTTAATAATATGTATTAGAAAGAGATCATATCGGATGATGATATTATATCGTATAATATTATATTGTATTTTATATCATACGATATGAAATAAAATAATTTTTTGTATTTTTTAATATAAAAAAATAAAAAGTTAATTTGTGATTTAAATTTATAAAAAAAATATAAAAATTATTAATAAGAAAAAGAAAATAAAGATCTAATTCATAATTTAAATTTAAAAATTAATCTGAAAATTTATATTTATAAAGAAAATAATTAATTAAATATTTAAAATATCTCCGGTATTCAAAATAAAATAAATCAAATTAAAGCAATCGAAGGTTGCATAAACAAAAAGCAAAAAGCGTGCATTTTCAAGATATCTTTACATCGTTACATACCTTAATAAACAAAATGTATCTCATATAATGATGACACGCCATTAATCCGTCATCATTATATCACTCAAATAGCCATGTATCTCATTTACACGTAGTGTGAAAAATTTATGGATTTGTAGAATGAATTTCCTACCCACTAGATTCGGTTAAATCTGCAATAATAATAAGAAACACCGAGTTTGAGTCTTTGACCTCATCAAATCAACATTGTTACACGACCACATTTGACCTGTTCGGATAGATGAAATAATTTGTGCTTTTCTGTTATGTGCTACACGCACCTACTAACCCATTCCATTTTTATAACTGGATCAACTTGTTTAAGAACCAAAGTAAATAAATAATAAGTAGCGATCTCAAACACTAATGTTTTTGGTTTAAATTCATAAAATTCAATTCAAATTCAGATCTGTATGATCTCTGTTATGATTTGACTCCCATCTCAATAATAGCAAATTCAAGAGTACTTCTAAACATAACTCAGTCTTTACATTTCAAATTATATATCAAAATAACACATTCACATACCCATTTTTCTTTACTATACTAAAAATAAAATCCATTTCAATATTCCAATTAATGATTCTGGGCAAGGCACTAAGATGTGAAAGAGATCCCTGATGTGGAAGAAGTTGAAGGCAGGAAGTTGAAAAAAAAAAAAAAAACATACAACTCATTACATTCATTGCCAAATTCTACCCAAGCATATCAGACTAATTAAAAGTTAATTTGGTCATTATGCAATATGCACCACTACATGTGATTCATGCCTAACACTTTCCCTTCACTCACCCTATATAAACATCCTTTAACTCGAAACAACAACACAAATCAACTCAAACTTAACACTCCCTTGCTTTAAAAGGACTACACAGCATGGCAACCAAGTTTGCTAAGGGCCTCACCTTACTGGTCATAACCGCTTCAATGTTTGCAGTGAGTATGGCCAACAAGGATTGGTCCTTTGGTTTTAACTACACTACTGATTGGTGGTCCAGATTCGGGAACCATAACTTAAATAAGACACAGCAAGAACCCAGGAACATCATCGTGGGTGGGTCTGAGCATTGGCACTTTGGTTATAACTACACAGATTGGGCTATTAAAAATGGCCCCTTTTACCTCAGTGATACTCTTGGTAAGCTAGCTTGTCTTCATGATTATTAGTCAAGCTTAATTGAAGTATATTACTACATATACAATTTGATACTAACATTTACACATGGATATCTATATGCATTTAAACTTGTGTTGTAGTTTTCAAGTATGAAGCTCCAAATGCTACCAGTTTCCCACATAGCGTGTACTTGTTTCCAAACTTCTGGAGCTTCTTGAATTGTGATGTTAAGAGGGCTAAGATGCTGGCGAATCCCACACAAGGTGCAGGACAGGGCTTCAACTTGGTGTTAAGCAGGTGGCAACCTTACTACTTTTCCTGTGGTGAGAGAAATGGATTCCATTGCAACAATGGACAAATGAAGTTTGCTGTTATGCCAATGCTTCGTTCATTCTGATTATCGCCATGAGAAAATGCATGCAATAGCTAGCAAATAAAGCGAGCTTTCCTTGTTATTAATGTTATTCTATTTATACTTTATAAAAATATATAATGTCATGCATCTGAATAAAACAGTTGTAAGGTGAATAAATTTAGAAGTTCTATGTTTCTTCATAGTTAACAAATGTAACTTGTGGACACTATATAACTTTACATTGAGAAGCTTGTAAGAGGTTTGCATTTTTCAATTGACGATTGTTTGACCTTGTTAATAATGTTAGCGTCATTTATTGCACGTGAATCAGAGAGGCTAGTTTCAGCTCCTATTAAGCACTTTGCCAACTAAGATGTTCAGCTAAAAAAGCAACGTGTCAAGTTCTTCAAATCATTGACTTTGTAGTTATTTATACATAATCTTTTTAAGGTTTTATAACATTTGGTAAGTTCTTCAGTATTCAATAGAATTTATGGTTAAGTAATCAACGATGTGGTTATCATGTGCTGCACAAAACATGCACATTCAGACAGAAGGGGTGGACATGCCCTCTTTTACTTAATTATCTTGTGCTGCACAAATTTAACGGCCTCAATGTTTGCAGTGAGAACCGCCAAAAAGGATTGGTCCTTCAGTTTTAACTACAGTAATTAATGGTCCAGATTCCAGAACCATCACTTAAACAAGTGTTGAGATATATAGTCTCACATTGGTTAGATGTGCAACTAATGTGGCCTTTATAAGGCCTTGGGCACTCCCACCCTAAGAGCTAGCTCAAAAGATGGGAGTGCCCAAGGCCTTATAAAGGCCACATTAGTTGCACATCTAACCAATGTGAGACTATATATCTCAACAACAAGGCACAACAAGCACTCAAAATAATCATAGTGTGGGTCTGAGTATTGGCACTTTGATTATAACTATACATCAGAATGACCTTTTTTTAACAATCAGGATAGAACACTGCATGTTGCATGGTTATTGATTCAATGGCTTATATTTGTTATATTTAATTTTTTTTATAATAAGGTCGCGCCACCTTGCTTAATTGAATTATATTCATGTGTTTTTAGACCTTATTTGTAGCTCTCTCCTTAATGTTGCCTTCTTATTTTGAAATTTTTCTCTCCTCATGTAAAATATTGCCAATTATTTCTGTTATCTACTTACAGTTCGAGTTTCTCTTATGAATAACATCCACAAATGTTAGTGTTTATTGAAATTTTAGGCAGCAGTCAAAAAAGGGTTGCAACATTATTGCAGCTACACTTACAATTATTTCATGTACCCAAGAGTTTCGCTGTTCTATGCCCCGTTATTGAAAAAGCTGCAGCAGAAGTTTTATTGTAACACTTACCCGCCTTTTCTGTAAGCTATCGCAATGTAGATGTAGGAATTTGCTTAATATTCAGAACAATTGTATAATTATTGTTCCCAAAGGTTTTGTTTTTATGGAGTAGATTCATGTCTTACAGAGAGAGGTTATCAGTTTATGACATTGGCAAGATTGAGCATCATATTTAAGCAGAAAATATTACATGAATTTAGATTAAAATTAAAAGTATTTGAATGGTTTTTATTGTAAACTATGTAGTAAAGTATGAAGGGTGGATAATGCATAGGCTCACCTACCTGTGCTAAGAAATTTCACAAGAGAAAGTGGGGGCGATGATAATCAAACCCGTGACACAAAAACTCTGATACTATGTGAAAAATCAATTCAACGTAAAAGCTTAAGCTATTAAGTGAAGGTTCATCAATGATTTATATACTTCTTTTACTCTTCCCTATTCCATGTTTGTCCACTTATTTATATATATATATATATATATATATATATATATATATATGGGTCAGGATCATTTTACACCAGTGTAAGTTACACTCTTAATCTTGTCCGTTAATCCCACATATACCTAAGGGCTCAAATTTTTTAGTAATGTGAGTCATTGGATACAAGTGGATCAATGGTCAAGATTGAGTGTAAGATTTCTAACTCTTACACCGGTGTAAGAATATCCTGCCCCTATATATATATATATATATATATATATATATATATATATATAGGCTTTAATAGCTCTTCAGTTGCTGCAGATCAGAAAATAATTTGCAGCAAGACTTACTTTCACCAGGATCCGGTTCCGTATCCTTTTCTTTTTTTGTTAATTTCAGGATCTGACTCCGTATCCTACTATAATATATTTGCTGTAAGTTTTTCCATCACGAGAAACCCATATATATATCATCCAAATAGTGAATAAAATAGATTATCATGGGATAATAGAACAGAAGAAAAAAATTAAAATAATAATAATAAAAAGACTTATTGTGGACCTCTAATTTGAAGATTTACTTGAGAGAACATAAACATATGTAAACAGCATTTATTGTGAATAAGACCGCTTAGTGTCTTCTCTCTTTATCTCGCTAATTTATGGCTACCTTATGAAAACTATACATCTGAAAGTGAAAGAAAAGGAAACTTTTGGCATTCTTCTACCGCTTTGGATTTTCCCGTTCGGATATTAATTGATACTCCAAAGTCCAAACACATCAGATATTCATATAAAATAATAATATGCGTGTAATTTGATCTACCTTCCTATCAACACAATTTTGCTTTCCAAGTATCAAATCTATGTAAAGCTTTCAGTTGGTCAGCTATCAAATAGTATATATTTGATGGACCATTTGTGATTATTGAATAAGTACACGTCCCTGGCATTTGGTGGTTTATCAAATCGTTTTACTTTTGATGCATTTGAGCCTTCAAGTTCTATATATATATACATTGACAAGCAGGGACCATGTATACCATTTACCATAGCTGCCAAAATATCCTCTACCTCAAAAAGATTTCCTCCTCACATGCATTTTAGCTTGAGATAAAGGTTTCTTTGAGATGCATGTTCGTGGATGGGGAAAATTTGGAGTTTAAGAAAACAACAAATTTCATTTTGTTTTTCCCTTTTGGCCTGATCAAATTCGGGTTAAAAGTTAAAAACTATAATAATTTCAGACACTCAAAATATGATTGCTTAGTGTACATATCCCATGAATTATTAGAATATTCAAACTAACCAAATTGTCACAGGTTTCAAGAACTTAGATGACCATGATGAAGAAAAATAAATGACTGATCTGTGGAAGTGATCTCTTGTAAAGTTCATGTTTGTAAGCAGATCAAGCACCAATCAACTTTCATCTTAGTAAATGAATGATATTAGAGGGGAATTCTCATTTTGAACCAAAAAATGGGTAAAATATTAAAAAATCTAGGTTTAACTTATGATAATATAGTTTTAATTTCCATCATGTAGCAAAATAAGAAGGGAGAGCCATATGTTTTTGTTTGTCCTTCTTTTCTCTCAAGTACTTCACAAAAAAAAAAGGTTTTATGTTTGTTATGTTACATGACGTAACATAACTTTCCTACACACACAATTTTACTTGGGTCTCATTCCTTGATTTTTCTCTCTCCTCTCTCTTCTCAATTGCGTGTGTGTAGAAAAGTTATGTTTAATCATGTAACATAACAAACATAAAAACCCAAAAAGAAAATGAGAAAAGTGTGTGTCATTTTAAAGGATGTAAAATTGTGTCATTTTAAGAGAGATAAAAAGATAAATAAAGGAAGAGAGAGAGTTGACAAAAAAAATAAAGGTGTGAGTTCCACCTCTTGGTGAGAGTGAAAGGATATAAGTTGTATCATTTAAAAGGATAAACATTTTTCCCAAAAAAAAAATTACTACAAATACTAAGCCCATTATGCCCAATTCCACATTGTTTAGGTGAAGTACTCATTATTTGTTGAGGAAGGTAGGGTAGGAGAGGGATTTATAGTGAATGTGAGTTTCACCATCCTTGTCATGTTGATTACTATTAATTTGATGATGCGGTACCAAGAAGGCAGGCAGTATATATAAGTTGGACAACAATGCCAACAACCAATACCACCAAATTTTATATTGAAAAACAGTAATTATGAAGGTGGGGTGAGATAAATGGAATAAATAACTGCAGTGACTCTGCTCTGTGCACAATTAATATAGCTATTAGAGGCAAGAAAAAGTGTGAGAGATCAAAGTGGAGAACTATAACATAATAAGATGCCATGATATCAGACAGTCATATTTGTCTAACCAGGACATGTGCATTCACACGTATATATGCCCATCAATGTGGGGACTAGTTCTACATAATTTGGAACAGTAACCATCACTGCCCTTTAGCTGTTTAAATAATGATGGTGCTCAATTTTATTTTTTTCAGGAAAAAAAAAAAGTGAAGGGGGAGGTGGGTTTCTAAGTACTCCATGTCACCACCCACTTAGATGAGTAATAACATCATTTTCATTTGCGTGGACACAGTTGATTAATTGGATAAGATGGGCAAATTTTCTGTTCCAAAACCTTTGACAAATATAAATCCTTCGTCAGTTGTTAGTAAAAAATCTGTGTTTCTCTCAAGTCATTAGTTTAGGTATAGATTCAATCGCTTTCTTACACGTCCTTACTACAATTAAATACGTAGACTAATATATGTGTCCTAATGAGTATTTTAATTTAACTATAATGGTCACCCTAATGTCATTTAGCTTTAACCAAATATTGTGTTTACTTTCAAATTCAGTTTCGGTGTTAATGATTTATGAATAAAGTATTAGACTATTATTTTTACTTCTAGAAACTGAAACGAGGTAAGTTACTTACAGTTAATGACTGTCTTAAGTTCTAAGTACTATGGGTAGAGGAAAAGAAAAAATTTAGGGTGGCATTGGAGAGGTGGGTTCCACAACTGTTTTTACCTTGAAGCAGCTGAGCAACTTTAAATAAATGCATTGATTAAACCCACCACAAAGAATGGTTTATTATGGTCAAAATTGTGTCCATTTCAAAATCATCTTGAGCGAAAATAAAGTTTGTTTATTCCTTACACTGGCATTTAGTGGGGAACCCACTTTCATTGGCATGATGAGGCTAGAAAAAGAAATTTCCCAAGTCCTTTTTTCATGAGAA